TTTGGAGGTGACTGTAACTGTTATATGGACCCAAAGAAGGATAAAACTACGTTAGCATCAAAAACTAGAAATATCGAAACAACGGATTTAAGTAGAGTAATGAATAAATGGCAACTAAAGGATGTGTGGAGATTGGTAAAAGGGAATGAAAATAGATATACATATTACTCAATGGTGCATAAGGTGTATACAAGAATAGATTACATTTTCGTCTCTAAAAATATGTTAAGTAAAGTGTTAAATGCTGATATTGGAACAATTAAGATTTTGGATCATGCCCTGGTATCAACTGAGATTGTGTTGAAATGTGATTATGACAAAATGAGGAGGTGGAGGTTAAATACAAAAATATTGAATCACAAAGAGATAGTGGATAGAGTGCAAGCAGAATGGCAAGAAACTTGGGGCTTTAATGAAAAGGGGGTAACAAAAGGAGTGTTATGGGACACTATGAAAGCAGTGACTAGAGGGTTATGTATAAAAGAGACAATTAACCTCAAAAAAAGCCAAGAAGAAAGGAAAAGGAACTTAGAAAAAGAAATAGAAAAGATCGAAAAAGCATACGTAATAAAGAGAGATATACAAAATTACGCAAGGTTGAGAGCAAAAAAAGAGGAATTGGATAAAATGGAAATAGACGAAGTACAAGAAAATTTAATTTATTTAAGGAGGGAATATTTTGAGTTATAGGAATTCAAAGATGTTAGCCAAATCCACACAAAAAAAGAAAATGGAAGGTATGATAAATACGATAAAAGATAAAACAGGTAAATTATGTAGAACTATGAAAGAAAAATTGAAGGTATTTGAAGAATTTTATAAAGAATTATACCAAACTAAAGCTAGCTCTATAGAAGCAATTAGGAAATATGTGGAGGAAAATTGGGAGAGTAAGTTGGAGGAGAAAGATAAAGAGTTATTGGAACAACCTATTAAGAAGACAGAAATAGAGGAAGTCATTAAGAAATTAAGAGTTGGGAAAGCTCCAGGTTTGGATGGCCTAGGGACAGAATATTATAAAAGCTTTAGAGAAGTTTTGACTCCAAAATTATTAGAATTGTATAATGGAATAATGAAGGGAGATAAAATACCAGAATCATGGAGGAGATCATTAATAATATTAATACCCAAACCAGACAAAGACTTAACAGACCCGGGGTCATATAGGCCCATATCGTTAGTTAATCAGGATGCAAAGATTCTATCCGCTATAATAGCCAATAGAATGAGCAAATGCATGTATAAGTATATAAAAAAAGATCAGTGTGGATTTGTAAAAGGAAGACAAATGTCAAATTTGATAGGGAGAGTATTAAATAAAATTTATTTGGCTAAAGAGGGGAAGGAAAAACTAGGGATATTATCATTAGATATTTTCAAAGCGTTCGATTGTGTGGAATGGGAGACATTAAGAGAAATTTTGAATAAATTTGGAATGGGAAATAGAATAAAAGGAATTTTAGAACAATATTATTCAAGGAATTCAGCAGTGGTAACTATAAACGACGGAGTGACAAATGAAATAAAGGTGACAAGAGGAACGAGACAAGGTTGCCCTTTGTCGCCAATTTTATTTGCTATGGTGATAGAACTGTTCGCTAATGTTATAAGGAACGATAAGAATCTAGAAGGGTTAGGAAAAAAGGAGAAACAGAAGGTGAGCTTATTTGCTGACGACACACTGTTATTTATAGAAAACATAGTAAAGAAAATGGATAAAATAAAAGAACATTTGGAGACATTTGGGAAAATAACAGGCCTACAAGTAAATTGGAATAAGTCAGAAATGATGCTACTCAACTATACAAAGGAAGAAGAAAAAGATTTCATAGAACAGAGTAAAATGGGAATAAGAATTAAGAATAAATTAAAATACCTGGGAGTAATAATAACAAAGGATTTAAAAGAAATGGAAGAGGTAAATGTAGTAACATTAAGGAAAGTGGTTCAGAAAAAGTTAATAGAGTATGAAGATATACGCTTATCTTGGTTTGGAAGAATAGCATTAGTAAAAATGAAAATACTTCCAAAGATAAATTTTATATTTAGGATGCTACCACTTCAAATCACAGAAGAAGAACTAACTAGATGGCAACAAATGATTACTAAGTATTGCAATGGTAGTAAAAGAAATAGATTAAATAAACAGTTATGGTATAGATTGCAAAAAAAAGGGTGGACTAGCGTTACCTAATATTAAAAAATATTACGAAGCAAGCAGATTAAGCCTGGTTATAGAAGGAATGGTTAAAAAAAGAGGGAATAGATTGGCTTAGTAACGATTCAGAAAAAGTGGAAGAAGAAATTTGGAATATATTTTTTAAACAGTTTACGAGAAAAGAAATTAGGGAAATTAGGAACCCAATGCTGAGTAATATATTAGAAGTATGGAACAAATATAGGAGGGAGTTAATAATGGAGGGGTCAATTATAACCCCAATTGTGATGGAAAAGAAGTTTCCAAAAAATTTTTAAAAAGTAATGGATAAAAAGATAAGGGAAAAAAATTAGATAAGATAGGGGATTGGATAAAGGTAGGAATGAAGAAGAAAATGATGATGAAAGAGTTTAAAGAAATAAAATTGACATGGTTCCATTGCATACAATTAGAACAATGGTTTAAAAATTGGGGAAAAAATAACAGAAATGGAAGCAAACTTGACCAATTTGAACAAATAATACAGAAGGGAAGGGCGATAGAAGAGTATGAAAACTTGAGAGGAATAACTAGTAAAATTTATAAGATATTAATTGAAATGAAGGAAGGAAAAATAAAAAATAACACCCTTAAAGAGGTTTGGGAAGAAGATTTAGGGATAAAAAATAAGTGAAACAGTGGCAACAATTATGGGGACAAAGACTTTTAAAAAAATTATCAATATGGGTTAAAGAAAATTATTACAAGCTAATATGGAAGTGGTATCTGACACCAGTAAGAATAGCATATATGAATAAAAATAATTCAAAAAACTGTTGGAGAGGGTGTCAAGAACCAGGAACATATATACATATGTGGTGGCAATGTAAATATGTAAATAATTTTTGGGAGACGGTATTTAGAGAAATAGAAGATATAATGAATTTGAAAATTGAGAAAAGTCCTAGTATAGCCTTATTATCATTATATAATAACAAGCAATTGAAAAAGGAGGATGAAGAAGCGATAACAAATTTATTAACAATAGCAAGACTGCTCATAGCAAGGAACTGGAAAAAAGAAATGAATATACAAATTGAGGAGTGGTACAAGGAAGCATGGAAATTAGCAATAAATGACAAGCTGACATGTATATTAAAGGTTAAAAAAGGTATATGGAAACAAAGCGACTTTGATGCTGTATGGGGAAAATTTGTTGTAAATGGTTTAAAAAATAAAGAAGGAAAGTTACCGTCACAAGAAGAAATGAGATTTTGGACAGATGACATGTTAAAGTTGTGGCTTGAGATGGGGGAGGGGAGCACAGTGGTGGGGAAAAAAAGGGGGGGGGAAATGCTTAAGCAGAATAAGATTATATGTTAAAGAGTGTGTTGAATAATATGTAACTACAATAACAAATGTATAACAAATGTAGTAATATTGATAAAACAATAAAAATTATTTAAAAAAAGAAAAGAAAATGTTGACCATTTCCGCTACCTTGGCAGCCACCTCTCCACCAAAGTCAACATCGACACCGAAATCCAACACTGCCTGAGCTCTGCGAGTGCAACATTTTTCCGAATGAAGCAGAGAGTGTTTAGGACTGGTACATCCATAGAGATACCAAGGTGTTTGTTTATAAAGCTATTGTCCTCCCAACCCTGCTATATGTCTGCAAAACGTGGACTGTCTACAGACGTCACATGCAACTCCTGGAACGATTCCATCAGCGCTGCCTCCGGAAAATCCTGCAAATCTCTTGGGAAGACAAGCGGACAAACGTCAAAGCAAAGACCACCAGCATTGAAGCGATGGTCCTCCACCATCAACTCCGCTGGACCGGCCACGTTGTCCGGATGCCCGACCACCGTCCCCCAAAGCAGTTGCTCTACTCCGAACTCAAGAACGGAAAACAGAATGTTGGTGGACAGGAAAAGAGATTTAAAGATGGGCTCAAAGCCAACCTTAAAAACTCTGGCATAGACACTGAGAACTGGGAAGCCCTGGCCCTTGACCGCTCCAGCTGGAGGTCAGCTGTGACTAGCAGTGCTGCAGAATTTGAAGAGGCACGAATGGAGGGTGAAAGCGAAAAACGTCCCAAGAGGAAGGCGCGTCAAGCCAACCCAGACCGAGACCGCCTCCCACCAATGCCCTCACTGCGGGAGAAGATGCAGGTCAAGATGCAGGGCTCCACAGTCACCTACGGACCCACCAGAACACTGATCTTGGAAGACTATCCTACTCAGCCAGCGAGGGATTGCCTAAGTAAGTAAAGTAAGTGTGTGTATATATTTGCGTATATGTGTATATACGTGTGTTTGCGTATATATATGTGGTTTTGCGTATGTGTTGTAATGTATTTTTGTTTTTTGGCTTTTTAAGTCTCTTCTGCTATATTTTTCAGTGTTTTATGAGTGATGGTCACTCATTGGCCTGATACGTGTATTGTGCCCAAATTTGGTGTCGGGTCCTGCAGTGGTTTTTGAGTTATGTTAATCCCACAAACAAACATTACATTTTTATTTATATATAATTATATTATATTCATGTATACTTTATCATTTGTTTCTAATGGCTCCTATCCATCCTGAATTTAAATCCTATTGATTTCTCCTGTTTTTCCATGTGAAAGGCAATCAGAGGGGAAGTGGGCGGGGCTTGCGCTGGCCTGGGGAGAGGCCGTGAGGGCGGGGGCTACCGGGAAACCACGCCTTTCTTCGAAGGCGGGGCTTATTGTAGCCCCGCCCCTCCAGGCCAGCTCGGTCCGCCCACTTTCCCTCATCTTGCCACTCATCCCCCCTCCCCCTTTCCCACACACACGGCGGTGACGTTCCCTCATTTCAAACCCTCAGTCTCTCACCGGCTTGGGCCCTCCCGGCTCCCGTAGCGACGACGCGGCTGTTACGCCGTACGCACGTTCCCCCCTCCCCTATTACCGTCGCCGAGCAGCCGAGACCGGGCTGTTGAAGCGGGGGAGGGGAGATGGAGCATGCGCAGAAGCCGCCACGGCTCGGCCACCCGCGATTCCCTCCGCCTCCTTTCTTAAAGGGGCCGCGGGTAGTTTAATGCTCTTATTATATATTATACTAGCCATCCCCTGACACGCGTTGCTGTGCCCCAGTCTGTTGATCTGAAAAATAAAGTAATGAGAAAGTGGTGGTTTCTAATATACTTAATTTCTTTATGCTTGTGGGTAAACAGTATTTCTTGCTGTTTCTTTGTCAGTGGAGATTGTCTGGTTTGCCTACTCTGGAATATGCAACATTTCATTGTCCTTTAGGGATCCCTTTCAGATCTGTGATACTATATCTGCGTGTGTGTGTGTGTGAATCATAAATATCTATCTATATCTATGGCTGGATGGCTCTTTGTCAGGAGGGCTTTGATGACGTTTTCTTGCCCTGGTGAAGGGAGTTGGACTGGATGGCCTTAAGTATGGGGGTTCTGTATGGGACGTTTGCCCCAATTCTGTTGTTGGTGGGGTTCAGAATACTCTTTGATTGTAGGTGAACTGTAAATCCCAGTAACTACATTTCCCAAATGTCAAGGTGTATTTTCCTCAAACTCCATCTGTGTTCATATTTGGGTATATCAAGTATTTGTGTCAAGTTTGGTCCAGATCCATCATTGTTTGAGTCCACATTGCTCTCTGGATGTAGGTGAACTACAACTCCCAAACTCAAGGTCAATGTCCACCAAACCCTTCCAGTGTTTTCTGTTGATCATGGGAGTTCTGTGTGCCAGGTTTGGTTCAATTCCATCATTGGTGGAGTTCAGAATGCTCTTTGATTGTATGTGAACTATAAATCCCAGCAACTACAACTCCTAAATTACAAAATAAAAAAACTGAGTGAAGGACATACATTGGGTTGTTAGGTGTATGCTGTCCAAATTGGGTGTCAATTGGCCCACTGGTTTTTGAGTTATGTTAATCCCACGAATGAACATTACATTTTTATTTATATAGACTAGCTGTCCCCTGCCATTCGTTCCTGTGGCCCAGTCTGGTGAGCTGGAAAATAAAGTAATGAGAAAGTGTTGGTTCCTGATATAGGCAATTTCTTGAAGCTTGTGATATCGAGCTAGAATTTGGAGGCTCCCACCCAGGAGAGAGGAGCCCTCAGACCCACCAAAAAGAGTCGGGAACCTTGGCAAGCGAAGAGGGAGGAACCTCGAATTTTTCCTGAATTTTCCCAAATAAATCTCACCAAGGTTGAAGAAAAGCCACCGAGTTGTTTATTGCGATCCAGCTGGAACGGATGTCAAACCGCGATAGTTCGTCAGAAGAGACATGCAAGCAGTACATTTTGGTACATTTTTATAGAAAAACAGAGCTGTCAAAGTTTCCCGCCTCCCACCCCTCAGCCAGCTTCTTTCTGATTGGTTGTTGTCATCAGCTGGGGAGGAGGCATGGCTGGCTTGGCTGTGCCTCTGCCAATCAGAAAGCCAGCGCCACTTCCAGCCTGCAGCCAATGAGAGTGGAGGAGGTGGTTCTTGGGCAGAACAATGAAAAGAATGTCCAGGTGATTGGATTAGGCCGATTTAAGCTGTCCAAACGGCCGGCGATAAATCTATGAAAAGATTCCTCAAAAGCCGGTCTAGTTTCTTTAAAGGATGAGATATGCATATGTGCCTGGCATGATCGTCCAGCCCTGGTTTTTCCCGGTCACAGATATAATTCCATTGTGTAATCATATTGTTTCCTAAATGGGGAAATGACAAAAGGGAAGGAAATGGGAGCATCCTGACTTCTTTTGAAAGCAGGGTGTTCTTTGTTGAGAAATGACTGGTTATTCCAGGTAGTCCCCCTCCAGTGGTCTTGCTCCAAGACTGGGGTGGGCCAGGGTATTATCATGCAATTAGTCCTTTGTTCAGATTCTGAGTCAATAGTGAAATGCCTTGGGGAAAATGTTACCTAAGGTTGTTGATATGCTGGAGATCACAAAAGGTGGCTTCCTTATATTTTCATATATAGACATACGCACAGGGGTCAGGGAAATACATAAGGAAGAATAAGACATAAAGGGAATTTCATATACCCATCCCACCCACCAGAGTCGAAAAGAAAAAGTCCATAAGCATAAAGTCATAACATCCCTTGATCATGAGAAGGGAGTCCATAGGGCTTGGGGGAAAGTTCCATGAAGTTTGCAAAATACCTTGAAAGTTTGAGAAAGTTATCCAAAGTTGTAAAATCCAGAAAAGGCAAGTGGGGAAAGGTGTCCCAGTGTCCACGGAGTCCTTATAATCGTCCACCAACTCTGAAGATAAAAATCTGGGGGAGAACTACAGATCCCTTCACACCAAGGACCAAGGCGGCCCACCGAAATCTTAGAGGTTCCATGGGTTGACCGCGTCAGTTCCCCGGGATCAACAGGCTCCTTGGATATCCACAAAATGGTGGCAGCAAGGCAGTATCTTCAGAAAAACATCTGGACTCCAAGATATGGTTTTGGGGGCAAAAAGTGTGGGGTGGAAAGGACAGCGGAGGGAAACGGAGATAGCCATTAGTATTAGAATTCTTCCAGGAGAAGATTGGCACAGTTTTTGAAGTGATCCGTTAACTCGCGGATATGGGGGCCGAGGGGTTTCCATATCCGCGGTTTAAGGGAACGCAGTTTCGACCTCCCCGGGATGCGAGAATCGCATCCCAGGAGGGTTGGCAGCTGTCTGCCGCCAGGGAGAGGAAAGATTTATTGAAAGGAAAGTTTGAGGCAGTAAAAGGAGACAAAGCAACACTATCGAGAGGGAAAAGTTACAATTAATTGATATATTTTATTGGGGGGGTTAGTTACAATGTTAGGAAGGGGAAAAGGGAAGAAATGAGGAGGCTTCTGAGTTGCAGCTGTTGCTGTGGCCACGTTCATGCAGTTGGCCCAAGCGGGGCATTTGGAAAACCGTGAAACTCCCTGCTGCAGATCAGATCTGTTTGAAGGCAGGGGGCTCTGCGTTCGGTCTCACTTGTGGGTAAACAGTGCTTCTTGTTGTCTCCTTGTCAGTGTTGATGTAGAGATTGCCTGGTTTGCCTACTCTGGAACATGCAACTTATTGTCTTTCTTTAGGAGTCACTTTCAAATCTAGGATACTATATCTGTCATATACATATGTATATGTGTGTGTGAATCATATCTATCTATATATGTGTCTAGATGGCTCTTTGTCAAGAGGGCTTTGATTATGTTTTCTTGCCTTGGTGAAGGGAGGTGGACTAGGCAGCATTTCTCAACCTGGGGGTCGGGAAACCTGGGGGGAGGTCACGAGTAGGTGTTAGAAGGGTTGCCAAAGACCACGAGAAAATACAGTATTTTCTGTTGGTTGTGAGGGTTCTGTGTGGGAAGTTTGGCACAATTCTATCGTTGGTGGGGTTCTGAATGCTCTTTGATTGTTGGTGAACTATAAATCCCACCAACTACAACTCCTAAATATCAAGGACTATTTTCCCCAAACTCCACCAGTGTTCACATTTGGGCATATGGAGTAATCGTGCCAAGTTTGGTCTAGATCCCTCATTGTTTAAGTCCACAGTGCTCTCTGGATGCAGGTGAACTACAACTCCGAAACTCAAGGTCTATGCCCGCCAAACTTTTCCAGAATTTTCTGTTGGTTGCAGAAGTCCTATGTATCAAGTTTGCTTCAATTGCATCGTTGGTGGGGTTCAGAATCCTTTTTGATTGTAGGTGAACTGTAAATCCCAGCAACTACAAATCCCAAATGCCAAAATCAATTTTCTTTGAGTGATGGTCACCCCCTCGATGGACTGTCACCTTGTCGTGGTGAGGGGGCTTGCGTGTTCCAATGAACCTGCGGGCACAACAACTGGAGTCGTGCACTCCCAGGAGTGGCCACGGGGGAGGTTCCAGACCAAGCACAGTCCGAAGACCCAAAGACCTCAACGGCGGAGCAGGCGGAGGATAACATGGTACATGCTACAACGGCTGTGAAGGCGGAAGAAGGCTGCAACAGATTGAGAAGCCACGGTGATTGTGTTAAACTACACCACCAGTGGAACCTCACTCTGTGAAGACTGTGTGTTGATCAGTTGTGCACTGACCTCCACACATTAAAAAAAACTCACGCACAGGCGTCTTCCAAAGAAAATAAAATCAAACCAACCAAAGTCCCATGGCAATCAGCGAGTGGCGACGGGGGCAGGACTGTGAAATCTGGAAGCCCCTAGTCACAGACTGGCACATGGGCGGTGGGTACAGACTCAGTCGTTCTACCTCAAGGTCCAAGGCAGTTGAGTAGTTCGGCAGCTGTATCCACGACTGAGCAGTCCTTTTGAGGATCCACTCTGCTCACCCCAAAAGGGGAGGGGGCTAGAAAAGGTGCCCTAAACATAGTCTGCCCCTCTTATCCCTGGCTGGACTGCCGCGTCCAGTGGGGTCACCATCCTACAGCCAAAAAAGAAATATGAACTTCGGTACATGGAATGTACGGACACTGATGGACAACACTGACAGTGAACGTCCCGAACGCAGAGCTGCCATCATTGCAAGGGAGTTGGGGCGCTTTAACATCGACATAGCAGCCCTTCAGGAGACCCGGAGAGCAGGAGAGGGACAGCTGAAGGAAGAAAAAGGAGGCTACACCTTCTTCTGGAAGGGACTGCCTGAAGAAGACCAAAGACTGCACGGAGTTGGCTTTGCTATTGATATCGAGCAGCTTTTAGGAGGATCTCCCCAGCCGAGGAGATCCTGAGGACCGCACCAAAGAGAGTCCTGGAACCTTGGTGAGGCCAGCGAAGCCAATTTCAGCAGCAAAAATAATTAAAATAATAAATCCTCACCTAAGCGGAAGAAGTTCAGCGACCGAGGTGTCTTTATTAGCGATTCAGCTGAGATCGGATGCATTGTAGGAATAATTCCACTACAAGCATGCCGCTAAAGAATTTACAAGCATATTTATAGAGAAAACACAGTAAAACCTTTTGAATTTCCCGCCCGCCCCTCTCCGCCCGGCTTCGCGCTGATTGG